TGCTCTGAGAGAGGTGACCTTGAAGGGTCATTGAGGCGAAGAGCTGAAAGCATCCCACTTTGGCCAACAAAATGAAAAAAAAAAAAACCAAAAGCGCCAACATTTTAAGAAAAGTTCTTATTAGCTTATCCTCCCAGCTAGTGAAATTGGCAGGTCAGGTGTCTGCGGTAAGGGCTTGAGGCAGTGCTGATCCCCAAAGCAGAAGCCGCAGGATGCCAAGCAAAGCATGGACTCGTGAGTCTGGAGCTTCAGGCGCCGAGACAACCGGTGCCAGAAGCAGCTTTTGGCCTCTCCGCAGGGCAGGAGCTCCGGCGAGGGCTTCTGATAATAACCCCAGTGTGAAACCGGTGCCGTGATCCCGCCTTGCCCCCAGCACTGCGACGCTTCCAGCGGGAACGCGAAGCGCGGAGCCTTTGCCGCTGCGGACGCGGACACGCGTGGCCCGTGGGAAGCGGGGGGGTGGAAAGGCCAGCTGCTCCACCGACGGCCACGCAGGTGGCCCCAGTAACTCCAGTGCGGGCGTGCGGAGGGGGGTGCAGAGACACGAGCCCGCCCGGGAGCTCGGCGTTGGGAAAAGCTCGCGAAAGGCATTGGTGGTGAAGCGCACCGGGGCGCCAGGAGCTTCGCGTGCCCCCCAGCTCCCCCAAACGGGGTGGGAAGCCGTTCCTCGCCCGGAGGCGCAGGTCGTGGAAATGATGGAGATTCGGCTTCAGCAAAATACCTCCAGGCTGGTTCCAGCAGTGAGAGGAGCAGAGCCTGGGGCAGCCCCGGGTGGGGCGGTGGGAAAAGGCAGCGTGGGCACCGGTTCATCCCCGGGGGGACTGAAACCCATCTGATGGGCGTGGGAACCGCAAGCGGGGCGAGAGAGCGGCAGGCGGAGCTCCAGGGGGGACTCGGGGGGTCCTGAGAACACACATCACCGGGCTGCAGGCGCTGGTAGCGCCCAAGAGTTAATCACTCAGCCCTTAATAACAGCCCCCCCCCTCCCCCCCATCCCCGCGGAGGGAGGGACGCTGCAGAAACCAGCTCGCTGACCCAAACGCTCACGTACAGGGAGCAGCACGTCTCATAACCGTGGGGTGATAACCCGGGTTACCCCGGGAAGCACCTTTGGGAGTCAGTGAACACTCCCGAGGCGGTGAGCTGAATTTATTTACGTCGTCCTCGGAACCACCTGCTGAATAAAATGATCGGTGATGCGACTCATCTCTTGGTATTTATCTAACAGGGATGTAAATGGTGACATATGTCCGAGAACACAGACTTTAAGGTTCCTCTTCTAAAATTATTATCCCTTATATGAACAAGACAAGGAAAAATTCGTCAAGCAGTTTATTTTTAATTTAATATATTTAATATGAATGTGCATTTAGTGCATTTTTAAATTTCATCTATATATAAATTCTATTAATTACTAGCTGATTTTTATTTTACGTATTACAGAGCCCTTACCTCATTTCTACTGCTAATCAAACAAATCATTATGAAGGCCTTTGCACTGAGAGAAAAGAGACTATAAAATAAGCACAAAATTGCATACCTCTCTTAAATAACCGGCGCAGAACAAAATGCATGAAATTCCTCATAAAATTAGTACCACAAAGCAACGTGAAAGGCAGTACTGTACGTGCAGCACAGCTCAGCTACGATTTCAGTAGTGCACTCATTTGTACCGATGTCCTTTTATCTCACGGGGCTCTAATGCTGAGAGATGGGTTGGACCAGCAGCAGAGCCAAGGTCTCAGCTTTTCCATCCCACCCCCATGCCACAACGCTCCCGGGGGGGGGCTCCTGGCCACCCTGGAGTAACGAGGGTGGGGATTTTGGGCTCATTCAGCTGTTTTTCCACCTTGTTTCTCAAGAAGCAGCAGAGCGCAGTCTGGGGCGCAGGAGAAAAGGCCGTGGGCGAAGGGCGGGCGACCCGACGCGGAGGCGAGCAGAAAATATTTGACGAGTTTAACTCCAGGCATGTTCCTTGCTAAAAACCAATAACAAATGTTTTGCAGCGCATCCACAATAATGATTCGTCCGTGTTGCCTAATTGCTTCTGTCGTGAATTAAATAATCCTGGTGCTCTTGTTAGCAATTTCTTGATAACATCTGTTGAACAGGAGGTTTCTAAGAAATGATAACAATCTAAGGAGTTCAGCAAACGGCTTTCTCAGCCCTCTACTGTGCTCAGAGCTGTCTCCTGAATTTTTATTTAAACCAGGCTGAAACATGAGCTGTCTCTTCCCATACCAAATAAAACCCTGACAAGCTGGGATGCCTTGCAGAGCTGAGTTTAGAGTCGCTGAGTTTACTGAGTTTAGTGAGCAACATCAAGCATCATTGGGAAGACCATTTAACAGCAGGGAAAACTATCATCAGCAAGAACTTTCTGGGAAAATGGCTCAGACTGGGAGAGATACTCTGCTGTCAAGTTGAAAGCTGTGTTCCAGGGGCAGTGGGCAGCTGCTTGGTGGGGTTTGAACATGGGCGTCAGGCTGGGAGGATTAGATTTCTCCTTCTTGGTATCATTCTTGGTTCATCCATTAGCTTGCTTACTCCAGCTTCCCTAGGTTTTAAAACTGGCTGGACTTTTAAGCCTGGCTGGGCTTCCCACATATAACATGTTTCATCAAGCCATCTTGCAGTGGCTAAACACAGGAGACAACCTTCAGCAGTCGATCTCAACCTATGTTTTGATACAGGATCAAATCTCCAGAACTGAAGCCAAAACATGACATTTTATTGCCTGTCCACAACATATAAAAACATTAATGCTATAATTCCCCTCACTTTTTTATCACCACAGCAAATTGGTGGCACATATGCCTAGAATTATCTCAAAGCAGAGATACCAAACGCATGCAGATCATTTTAAAATAGAAAGTCTTTTGAGAGAACTCAGTCTGCAATGTTGTGCAGAATATGGCTTCAGCTAGTACAAAATTGTGTAACTGCAGGTAGTTTCCAATTTTTCCTTGACCAGTTTCAGTCCCTATTTACAAAGTCAAAGGTAGAAATATAATTAGTACTTGCAAGCACTTTAACTAGCTGGCTCTGTTAGTCTGAGGCTGCACATCTCTGCCTGAGCGTGAGGAGGATGCTGTCTGCAAATGTTTTTAACTCATCTGTTCTAAGAAATCCAACTGCAGGCCTTATTAGCTGTGTCAATTAATTGCATTTGCAAAACATCATCCCGTTGCCTGCCTGCGACCGTCCCAGCGCTGAATGTAAAACACTTACAAAGAGGACTGTCTTCAGCCGTCCACCCCGCCACCTTCCAGGGCTTTCCTCTTTTTTTTTTGAGGAGAGATGCTTTGGAGTCAGAGTCTTCCTTATTCTGGCTGTGGGCACGCTCAGAAGATACAGGTGTGCTCAGCGACCTTTGAAAAGCCTCTCAAAATGCAGCTGGAAGTAGGGATCGCCGATCAGGCCGGGAAAAGGAGAGGCTCAGAGGAGTTCTGTGGTTTTCTGCATGTAGTGTCTGGACGCGGGCACTCCCGTGCGCAGACCCCCAGGAGATGTCTGTGCCTTGGCCCTGGGGGTGCCAGCTCCTCTGTGCCTCTGCCTGCTGCTGCCCGGGGCACAGAGCCCATCCTCACCCCCACACCGAAGGCTGGGACTCCAGTGATGTGTTCGACAGTTTTGGGTGAGTTTCAGTCCACCCACAAGATGTTTTGGACATTTTTGAGAGCAGGACAGTGTCTGTGTCGACCTGGACTTTCGCTCCTATGACTTCATGAGCACCTCCAGACCCAGCATGTTGGTGGAACCGGGGCTGGTTTCCCAGGGAAAAGTCTGATTTCAGGTCCAGGAGGAATGACCTTTGCTTTTGTCCAGCTGAATCCTCCCCACGTGGAGGATGCTGGTGGTGATGGCCACGCGGTGAGGAAGAGGTGCAGCTTTCCAGGGTGTGTACCTGTTGTGCAAACAAGCAGCGAGGTCCTCGTTTCCCAGGGCTGCCAACCCCACAGACGCGTTCGTCTTCAAAGAGCGTCAGCGAAAGATTTCATTAGATAGCACAAACATCGCAAAATGTGTTGGCTGACATCAGACGAGGCACATCAAAGAGCAGAATATTCAGATTGGTAAAGCTGGCAAATAATCATGGTTTAAAATCACTTGTACCAGGAAGAAATTCTGTTCTTAGTCATTCAGAAACAACTGTCTCAAAACCAGTATGTTTGCACCAGTGTTGTCAGAAACAACACTTCTGTCCCATAAACATCTACAGTGACTCCAATACTGTAAAAACTTATACAGGTGTTTAATAAGACTTAGACTGGGTAGTAAACATTTTCCTAACATTGCTAATGAGAAATCTGAGTAAATAAACATAACACACTTCTGTCTGTCTGTACAGCATTGTTTGCACTGCGTTGTGAACTACAAATGCATAAATTAAGCTTGATAATGCACATAGTTATGCTTCTGTATGAAAAACAATGGTAAAGGGTTTCTGGAATTCAAACGTCTGAGCTGGTGCTGCATATGTAAAACCTGCTGAGGCAACAGCAGTTTTATGTATCAGTTTCTTAATTTAAAAAAAGTTTTTAAAAGTGTAGAGAATGACACAGCTGCAGACTGGGGTTTCCTGTGCAAATACCACCCTAGTGCCAGAACAGCCCCAAATTGTCCCCTTCCACAGGAGCAGCCGAAAGCCTCAGGAAAGCTACAAAGCATGTCTGCTTTACCCTGAAACTGAGAGTCTCCTCTCCATTTATCTTTTAAAACTTCAACTAACCCTCATGGCAGCCGGCCGGAGCTCCAGAAGCCATTGCCAAGGCAGCAAAGGTCATGCCCAAACCGCACCAAACTCTGCTCTCCCCCCACCCCCCCCCCACCCCACCCCAGCCAGCAGCCCCACTTGGCAGGTTTGCTGGGCGGGCCAGAAAACCAGCAAGCAAACCGCAGGCACGCCAGCTGCTAACCTCCCCAAAATCCTGTGTCCCCCGTGAGCAGGCAAAACGCTTTAAAGGAAAAGTGAGGTTCGGAAGGTGCACAGAACTTGCCTCCTTAGCATGTTGCAGCAGAAGCAGGCGGGCAGAGGGGCCACCGGGTCCCCGGCCGATGGGGACTGATGCTGGCAGGAGGTTTGTGTTTGCTCTTGTCTCCGGGAAACCCCAGTGCCTGCTCCGAGGAGGAAGTGTGCTGAGGATTTGTAGCTGCCTGTCTCTTGCCCAACCCTTCTAAATTGCCCTGCGTGAGTCCAGATCTCTCGTCTTCAACCAGGAAAGGGTGGTGGGGCTGAGGAGCCTGGCAGGAGAGGAGCCATGGGGGGGGCTGGGGGTGAGGGACCCTCCCCAGCAGCACCACACTGACGGCTCCATGGTGGGGGCTTGGCCCCATCTCTGGAGGCGTGTGGGTCCCTCCACCTCCAGCTGAGAAGACCCTTTCATCTCCATGTTCAACATCTACATGGCAAAGCTTCGGCGCAGTGGGCTGCCCTTCAAGTGAAATATATGTTCACAGGTAAATAAATTACAGGTGATCCAGGGAGCACGTTGGCACGTTTGCGGATGATTTCCCCAAGACAAGTTTCCCAAGACCTCACAAGAACCCCTCCTGAAGACTGCTGTCCTTGCTGTTCACCAGGTAGTTGCTGTGTCAAAGCTTCGTCCAAGGGCTTGAGAGGGGATTTGGCAGAAACACCCGAGGCCGATTCTTCATTTCCAAGCGGTCTGGAGAAATGTAAAGCCATAGCCGGTATACGTGAGATGGATGTCCAAGAAATGTTAAATGCTGCTGTTTCCACGTGAGGTCTTGCACGGGGGGCAGCTGGTGGTAAAGGGGCGGCCGCAGGGCTGCACGTAGATGGTGCATGTCACCATCAGCATCTCGGGGTACAGAGAGGGGTCAGCCCCGGACAGATCACAGCGTAAGTGATCAGAGGATCGCGTTGAACCGCCTCCTCCCTGTCAGCGAAATCTTGCGGTGTCTTGTGTTACACAGCGTGGACCCGCAGGGGACACCACAGAGCTGATCACGTCAAGATGTGAAATGTGCAACAGCAGTCCCTTCCCTTTTGTTGATGCTTCTGCGGCTGGAAAACAACTGTGATTTTCTACAAGCACGTGTCAAAAGCAAGAGATGAATACGTAAGAAAGCTAAGAGTCCTTTCGGGCAATACCGCTGAATGCAGGCGATATTTTAGCTTGGGAAGGCGGCCCCCAAATCAGTTTAAATCCTCCCCGTGGCACTGTTGAGGCAAAGTGGTTCATGGTGGCAGCCGAAATGCTCTGGAGCCCTTCTCGGTGCTGCTCCAGGGAAAGCCACCCGCGGAGACACCCCAGCTCAGCATTTGGAAGTTCAGCAGCGCTGAATTCTGGAAGAGGTGAGAGTTCTGCCTCGTAGCACCCATTTTGGGAAGGATGGTGTGGAAATCAGCCTCCGGGCTGAGGTAAAATCTGCCTTGTGACACTGCCGGGGGTGACGCACCCCCTGGGCAGCATCACGGAGCTTGTCTCTTCTCCAAGGACAGACGGCATTTTGCCGTTAATTTGGATAGAGCAGAGTCAAATCCAAAATACAGTGCTTCAAAATTATCTCTCTGACTGCTTCAAATTTATCCCTGCGCCCTATCTGATCCCCAGGGACCTCCTTTCCTCTCTCCAAAATACAACCTTTTAGGGTGACCAGAAGAGGAACTCCATATGTACTTCATCAGTTGCTGAGGGAAAGGAACATCCTAGAAGCAAAGATATTGCCTAATTTACCAACCAAACTGAAGGGTAGTTATTATTAGAAACTCAGATCCATTGAGAACTTGCAAGGAGAAGCTTGCAAGGAAAGCTTGTGAATAGAAAGTAAGATTTTAAAAGTTAATTCATCACCAATATAAAAAAATAAAAAGATATGTTTAAATAAGGAGTTAAAACTATTTATGTACGTTTTCCAAGTCTTATTTCAAGACTCTTTGTGCACCTCTGCAGCTAACAGAAGGTTTAACCTACTTCTCAGACAGAAGGTTGGTATATAGAGATATATATACCTCTTCCTTATATATAAAAATATTCTTTTATGCTTCTTTTATGTACATATATACTTCTTTCTCAGTAACAACACCCTGCAGAGGCATAACAGGCAATGGTCAGTAGTGGGATGATAAGGTTGAGACAAGGAAAGCCCTGAGAGAAATCATCTCAAAAATAAAGAGTTAGAGTAGTTTTTCATGGGAAGCCAGATGTTCACACTTAATTTATTTATTTGCCTCTTGCAAAAGGAGAAAGTGGTTTTGTTTTGTTTTTGATTTTTTTTTGTTCCAGTTTCTCTAACCATGGAATAAATCTGAGCTGTGTTCTCAACCCCGACAACTATATTTTGGTGGCAAACAGAACCCAGTAAAAGTGCTGAACAGAGAACCTGAAATCTAGTCAAAAGCCAATATTTTGCTTATTAAGGAGAATCCATAGAGAAGATAGAGTAACTGAAAATTGTTATTAAATGTGGCAATAGCTATTGTATTCTGATTTTTTAGCAGAGAATAACCTTGAGAATTACAAGGTGAACCACACGCATTTGAGCTTTCCAGAATATGTCCTCAACTTGTTGTTCTCCTAATGGATCATACGGGTTTTGGACAACATTTGCAACAAAACCGAGAGAAGTGATGATCAGGAAATCCTGACTGACTGAGCATAAGAAATGCTTGAGTCAAATAATTATCATAATAAAGTATCTTATTTACAGAGCTGGTCTCTCTTTCATGACAAAAATTTTTATTGCTCGAATCCAGTGGTGGAAATTCTTTTTCCAAAAAAAAAGAATTAAGAAAAAATTAATCACACTCAGATATTAAACTGGAAACCCTGAAGTTACATTAGAAAATCTGTGTTTTCAAATAAGAAGGATTATCTCTCTTAATTTACTTCTAAACAGCTGTATTGAGAGTTTAAAGATATTGGGTTTGTCTCTTATTAATATACATTGTTACTGATATATTGTCTTTTTAAAAAGAGGAAATATCAAGACTTGTTCAGCATTTGAGAAGGGGCTTTATTTCTTTTGTAGCCTCTCCCAAAAGGAGCAGGAATGTACTTTTAACAAATATTCCTGTGGACTTACTGTGCATTGGAAAATATTTCCAATGCAATATTTTATTTGCACTGGAAAATAATCCAATGCTGTAACTTCACCTGCCAACATCTGGATGTCAGGGTAAGTATTACTGAAATCAGATAGAGCAGTCTATCCTAAAGCAGGTAGGATAGAAGATAACGGGGCAGAGTCCCTGTTTTCTTAAGTCAGTGACCGAAACCCCTGTTTTTCAGACATGGGGTTGGCGGCGCGGCACCCAAGCCGCTGGGCTGGGTGGGCAGGTCCCCGCGCTCCCCAGGGAGCAGCCGCTTTCCCTGACCCCTAACAGACATAACGAGAGGTGCCCAGCTGAGGAGAATCACGGACTCCGGCAACTCTATAGGAGTCAGAAATCGAAAGTCCCTTTACTGCCGATACAAGTGCGTTTATAACTCCTCCGATCAGCTGATCGCCCGCAAACAGAAGGCTGGGTTGGTTACACGCTTTCTCCACGCCTAAAGCTAACGTTTGAGTGGTCACTCCCCCCAGTCCATAATACACCCATATAACGAACATAAGTTCATTACTGCTGTCCTAAAGCCTGTTGGTTAATTAAATCTTACAAGCACAAACACAATGTTCTATACACTTTTAGCTCAAGGCGGAAAACTTTCCACTGTTTAAGAAACAGCCAAATGCTTTCCTTTAACTGTCGCCTGGCAAGTTTTCTTCAGACAAAGCTCAGCATCCTTATCATGGTTTTCTACATTCCTGTTTGCTGCTCCCAAGGCTTCTAGCCAACAAAGGTCAAGATGTTCTCATCATTCCCCAGATGCACAGCACTCGCAGTTCCTCCTCCCCTTTTCGCATCCTCTCTGCGATGCAGCCAAAGTCTTGCTTTTGTCTGACGTGGCCATTGTCCTCCAAAAACGACCCCACACCCAGCGAGTGCCAGCACCTCCGGGGCTGGTGCAGCGAAGCGGGTTGTGCCGCCGTCCTCCACCGGCACCTTCAAAGTCTTCTGAAGTCCTTGGCCAAACCCTTCGGGGAGCCGGTGGGCAACCCCATGTTTCTGAAGGCAGCCCCTGCACGGGCAGGTTGGATTCCCTCAGCGTGAAAATGACGCAGATTTGGTCTAGATCTTGGCTTAAATGGAGGCAGGAAGGATTCTTGTGGAAGAGCTGCTTGGCTTTTCCCATGCCTGGTTTTCACTGGTGGTGCGCTTCTATCAGGAAGGTGGGCTGCTCAGAAATCAGGTTTCTTGGAAGTTTTCTCAGTTGTTTCATTGTGTTCTGTGTAGACGGTGCTGTCTACTCTTGTGCGCGGCATCCTGTACTTCTACCTTTGTTTCTACTCTTTCCAGTTCTTTGGACTTCCTTTGGTATTGTATTCCTCAATAATTTTACCTATGCAGATTATTGCAATTCTTTCATTGTAGATAGCCCAATAAGCCACAAATGCAGTAAGAGCAAAAATAAAAATATGAATTTTTGATATGTGTTTCAGTAGTGAGCCATATAAATTTATCAGATAAACTCTTTCCATGTTCTTTTAAGACAGTTCTCAGTTACAAAGTTGGAGGATTTGAGAAGCAAAATGGGGTGTGGGCTCCCATTTGTGTAAAGCAAAATCCAAAGTTCAGAAAAGCATGCTGTGATTAAACCACTTAGATACAGTATGGCTAGCTCAGAGGCGGACCCCAGTTTTGTGTGTGAAACTGGAGAACATCATGCAAAGGAAAAACCCACAAAAGGGAATGAAACCTGGTGGCTGTCTCCATCCCAGGATGGTCTCAGGAGGAGGAAAGAGGGAGAGGTGAGGTGCTGTCGGAGGGCAGAGGTTTCGGGTGGGCAGCCTGGAGTGGCTGGGCACCCACGTGGGCACCATCAGCTCCTCCAGCCCCAGGATGCCCAAATCCAGCAGAGTCCACCAGCACCACCACTGGGATCAGGATAGGGACCCTGGAGAAACCCTCGGGGGGAAGGATCAGAGAGAATCGCTCGTATGGGAATCACCAACTTGCAGCTGTAATCACAAGAGCTTGGGGCGTGAGCTAAAAACATTACAGACACTTTTTTTTTTTTTTTTTTTTTTTTTTTTTTCTGGTATCAGATGGATTACTTGCATCTGAATAGCACCAGGCTTTCAGCTGCTCCAAAGGAAAAGATTGTATTTGGCTTCATCTGGGAGCAGGCCATTAGTGCAGACCTGCTCTGTGAACTTGGACTTGATGGTTGGGGGTTTTCTTTCACAATCCAAACGCAATTAAAATTATAGCTGCTCTTAGTTCAATGTAAACTTCAGCAATTCTAGCTTCTGTAAGCAAGAGTCGTGACATTCTCTTATAATTGAACATGTCAAACTACGAAAATATACGTAGCAAGAATACAAAAAAGGAGAGTGTCAGTGGAAGCAAAGATGATACCACAGCAGATTGTATGTGTGTGTGCACAAATTCAAACAGTGTAAAATACAAAATTTTGGAGTGTTAAGTACTTGACAACCTAGGTCACTTTATGTTAAAACATCTGGAAGACAAATGTAGCATGGTAATACCACTATTCCCATGCATCAGACTACTAGGTCTAGTGTGGTGTGCTGTTTTACTGTTTTTTATTTGCTGAATGACTGGACAGTTATTCCAATTAGATTTCATGTCTTCCTATCTGAAGCGTATTAGCTCCACATAAGTAGGAAATGTTGTTTCAATTTTCTTAGCTGGACATAAGATCGTAATATTTTCAGCGATGAGCACAACAGACATATTTGTTAAA